CTGTAGTCGAACGGTGGGACGGACGTGCAGTTCAGTTTTTGGGCACGCATACGGTGCTGCAGGGATTTTTAGGTGTACCTCTTCGGGCTCTTGCATACCTTTTTCTCGTCAGATGTGTGCGTGTTCTTTAGATCCTCAGATGGCTCTAGCACTTTCGTGACCACGGGCTGAGAGTCTTTTGCTAGATTTTGGCATTTAGCAACTGACATACGGTTTAATGTGAAGACAAACAACAACAAATCATTGAGTCTCCTCCGGACGATGCCGTCAACGAGCTCCACCACTCCCGACACCAAGCTGCATACCCGTTCCTATCGAACCGTACACGTCACCTGAGGGATGGGACCGTGCGGGACATGCGTCGCAGCTTGAGGGCGAGGCGGCACCTCAGCAAGAATCTCCAGGCGACCCAAAGAGCAGCCAGAGAAGATAATGCTGCCAGCACACCTACTCCTGCTCCCTGGTCCTGTACGCCAGCCCAGCGGGCCATCTTGGAGTCTGCATCAGCAATACCAGCCTGAAAATCATCTATTAACCTTGGTAGGCTCGCCATGGTGTGGCAACAGAGCAACACACACACAACCGCGCCGCTCTTTGCGGAGCAGCGGCGGGTCTAGGGAGGGGGGCACGCAACGGGTACTTTAGTCCTTTGAAGCAATCATTCTGCGGGGCCTCTCTGCCCTGTCTGCAGCTGCTGTCTGCCGCTACCGGTATTCGACAAGGGCGATGAAGGGGACGAGCTTGTGGGGTTAGTTGGACAATCAAGAGGCTCGTGTGGAAGCTGGGACTGCAGATATTGAAGGTGAGCCGCGTTAGGTACTGAACTTCTTGTGCTGCCACAACTTTTTCCACTCTGGGTTTTGTCACTCTACAACCCTCTCGGGAACGAGACTGAGGTGTCCCGTTTGATTCACGCAGGTCGTGGACGGCACTCGTAGGGCTGTCGGCTTCAGTCCTTCGGAATCCACGATCTAGCTGGTGCCATACCTCACTGATTTGTTGGTTAACTGCTCGAGGCCTTGTTGATCTATCTTCCATCCGGCGCTGAATTCTCAACTCTCGGATCCTTGCATAAAACTTCCGGAACGCGAGTGTGACCCTCCCCGCAACCCCACTGTCCGAAACAGCTGTTTATTCAGTCAGTGGCATGCCACAGCAGCGCCACAGCAGCTACGTTTGGCGCTGGACCCCGGTGTAGCGTCGTCAATGTATTTTGCTGTTCGTTCAAGTCGAAGTACCATGAGCATATGCGCTACCCCTGTTGCCGCTCTACAGAAAAAGCGAGTCAGTGTAATGATCCCGCTCCTCTCATCCGTCTGCGCTTGGACCACACCAGATCAACTTGGTCCACCCCGCATACACAGTACATTGTCTCTAGCCCTGCTACGCCTATCATGCGCCGTTGACGTGGTTCGCGCCAGTGTTTTCCCTCATCTATATTCTGGTTTGTGCATGAAGGGCAACATGCCGTTTTCATAGCTTGGTACACAAGCTGCCCGTGCAACCTTCAACCGCAACACTTCATCGCCCTACCCACCGCCCACTGCCGGTACCCACGCACATCCCCTCACCCAGCGCACGTGAATTGGACCCGACAACAACGACGCACATACGGCAGCAGTTAGCCTCTCAGCCAAAAGGAGGCACGCGAGATGAAAAGACGAGGAGAGACCGGCGGGGGGGGGGGG